GCTGTGTCCGTTCTTCGTTCGCTGCAATAGGCCCTTGTTTCCTCAGTGGCACCGGAGCTGCGTTGCGATCTGTGGACCTTTTGCGCTTGAGCTTGGTGCGTGCCCTTCGACTTGGCTGCTTGGCCTTGGTTCTGTCCCCCTTAGTTTTCCAAGCGGAATTTGGGTGACTGAGCTTTTTGGGCCCTTTTTGCTTTGGGGACTCTCCACAACTGGACGATCTCCAGCTTCTTCTTGTGCACCTTTAGTGTTGCCTTGATCTTTGGCTTCCCTTTGTCCTCATCCTGCCGGTAGTTCTTGAAGAGACCCTCGGTACGATGGCTGGAAATGGTGAGGAGGCCAAGGGTTCTTGGTACCAGGTGCCTACATGGGACGGTTCGCCTTTGACCTGGCGTGCTTTTCGTCGCGAAATGCGCTGGTGGGTCTCAAGCCTAGACCTCGCTTCGACTGCCAAGTACAACCTGGCAGCACGTTGGCTCTTGCGTCAGACTGGCATAGTGCGTCAGCGAGGGGAAGAGTTTAACCCTGAGGACTTGGCTTACAAGCCTGCGGAAATGGGCATTGACCCGACCACCAACGATGAGATCGAGATCACTCCTCCCGACTACTTGCATGGCTTGAACAAGCTGCTTGACGCCCTTGAGTCGATCAATGGCCAGACGGTTTTGGACAAGCGTGGTGAACTGCGAAGCCAATTTTATTTGGAACTTCAACGAAAGCCTGGGGAACGGTTGAGTGAGTTCTGCACTCGGTTCAGGACACTTGTTGCTGACCTCCAAGCTGAACAAGTTCACTTGCCGGCCTCTGAACTCGGTTGGTTCCTCAAGAACAAGATTGGCCTTGATCCTCTTCGTCGCCAGTTGCTTGAGACGGCGCTTCAAGGCCGAGAGGAATACAATGTGATCGAGGCCGAAGTTCTCCGACTCTTCAAAGACCTGCATTTGGCTGATCCTCTTCACCGGAAGTTTGGCCAAGGTGGTGACAAGCCGAGGTTGTCGATTCGTCGGATGTTTCAGTCGGTTGGTCCTTCGTCCTCCGCTTCGTCCTCTGCTTCGACCATTAGTAGAAGTCCCTCCATGTTTTCCTCAGCGTCCTCCTTTCGGAGACCTTCGACGGCCAGTGTCAGCAGTGCCCCAACTCGGAAGGTCTATATGGCTGAAGTGCCTGAAGAGGGCCATGAGGATGGACCTGTTGAAGAAGTCTTGGAAGCCTCAGCTGAGACTGCTGAGGATGTGGAAGAGCCAGGACTTGTGGACTTCCTCCAGTCTGAAGCAGAATGCCTTGCCACGGAACTTCAGGCTGCTGAAGAACAGGGTGCCGATCCAGACTTGTTGCAAAGCGTGGAGGCCGATTTTGAACAGGCAGCAGAGGCATTAGTCACAATGAAAGAGGCTCGCTCCAAACTCCAAGAGCTTCGAAAAGACCGAGGCTTCGGTAAGCCTTCGCCAGGAGGCCCAGCTGGAGGTGCGAAGAATGCTGGAGTGCCAGCAGCAAGGAAAGCGTCAGGTCGCCACCCATGCTTTGACTGCAACCAGCATGGTCACTGGGCAGGCGACAAAGAGTGCCCAAAGCCAGGAGCAGGACTTGGACGCAAGCCGTTGGCTGTGGCAAAAGCAAAGCCGCGGCAAGTGCGAGTGACTGAAGCGCTTCATGCAGAACATGATCCCAGCACTGTTTTGGTTGGTACTTCATCCTCCTCACCTCCATCGGCATCACTCCCGGTTGACCCCAAGGTTCATGAAGCCTCCATGGTAAACCATGTAGGGTCTCTTCGTTTGGACCAAGCTCTGGACTTCACCATCAACAACCACCGGGTTTCTCATGCAGCCTTGATCGCTGGTTCGCCGCCCGCCTCTCAGGTGCTGTCAGAAGAGAAGATTCTGGTGGGCGCCTTGGACTCGGCCTGCAACCGTACGTGTTGCGGTGAGTTTTGGTTGGACACTTATGTAGAGCATCTGAAGTCCTCTGCACCCGCTTGGATCACCAATCTGATTGTGAATGTCGATGAGACCGAGCGTTTCAAGTTCGGGAACGGTGGAACAGTCCCCTCAACCAAACGCTGGCGAATTCCAATTTGTTTGGGACAGAAACGTTTGCTGCTTTTATGGATTTCAGTTGTTCCGATTAGTTCATTGGGATGTTTGCTTGGTCGTGACTTCATGGACGCCCTTGGAGCCGTGCTTGATTTTGGGAACCGCACTGTTGAATTTCGCTTCATCCAGCTCCAAAGGCTGGACCTGGCACAAATGTCAGCTGGGCACTTCATGTTGCCCCTGCAGCCGGCGATCTGGCCAAGGCCAGGACCTCACAGATGGCGAAAGTGTGGTTTAGACGGTATTGTTGAACTTCAACTTCAACCCCACGATTGGTTGCAAAGGCGTTTAGCTGAAGGTTCAAAAGGTCACCCCTCCGATGAAAAGCATGAGCATCTGTTGACTGAATCCAGTGTCGCTGCAGCGAGTTCCTGGCATGAGCTTCACTTGACGGCAGCTTCCTCTTCGACTTTGGCTCGAGACATGAAGCGTGACTCCTGTCGTGCTCAGAGCAACCGTCTACTTCCTCTCCTACCAGAACGTCCTCGAGCTCCTCGATTACCAGATCAGCGGCATGGCGACTCCGGCAGACACTCCGTACGAGCTGATTCCATTGACGCCCAGCTTGATTGCTCAGTACACGGAGCATGTGGGAAGTCGAGCCTTCGTACCATACCGGTGGAGAAGGTTCATCCTTCGCATGTTGGATCGTGCCTTCTGGCACGCACGAAGCTTGCTGCTTTGGTTGGCGCCGCGCTCACATTTGCGGTACTTGCCTTTTCCTTACCCTGCCATTTCGTCTGTGACCGATTGGAAGCTGCAAGCGCAGACTATGGTGGACAACCACTCGATGAGCCGCCGTCACCACTACTATGCCACCAACCGGAACCTCTACACGGCGGAGCACTTGCAGGAGCTATCCCGTTTCCGGTCGAGTTGGGTGGAAGTTTGCCTTCCTGGAGGATATGATTCTTCAGACTTTCCTCTTGACTCGGCAGATGAAAGGGCATGGTCAACGGGTGAAGCAAGCTGCATTGGACGAAGCCCGAGAGCGAGCTCGCCAGGAGACAGCAGTTCAGGATCGAGAGATTTTGGCCCGTCAGATGATCGGTCCTCGTGGTGGACTACCACCTCTCCGAGCCGACCTTGTTCGTTTGGCCTTGCTGTTGAATGTCGAGGTCGATGCGAAGGACACGATTGCCAATTTGCAGAAGAAGATTCGGCCGATTGTGGACATTCTCAAGCAAAAACCCACTCCGGCGAGCAGTTCAACCTTGAAGCATCAGACGGTCCCTTCCACTCCTCCGGGACGATCTGGTGTATCAACATGGTCGAGTCCTCCGAGTACAGCGTGGGCCCAAGTGGACCGAATGACTCCACCTCTGACTCCAGAGCAGCGAGCCGACATGGGCTCCAACATCGGACAGGAACTCCATGCCATGGAGCTGAAGGTGCAAGCGCTGATGAAGGCCCAGGACGAGCGCTTCAATGCGATGATGCAAACCGTCCTCCAGGCCGTGCAGAACCAGCAGAGTGGAGCCTCCGTGGATGCCAAGATCGAGATTGTGGACTCGGATTGAGCAATGCGTCTCAATTTCATGTGGAAAGGAAGAATTTGAAACCTGGCTTGCGGCAAATGATCTCCCAGGCTTGGGAGCAGCACAGGCGTGACCAGAAAGCTGTTTCCGTTTCCTCCAAAGATGTTCAGGAGATTTTCATGGCTACTTGGGAGACGGACATGCGAGCCTACATGAACGAGACCTTCCTTTTGGAGTTCACATTTCCTCATACCCTGGCTACTGAAGTGTTTACGGACACTGAACCTGTGGCTCGTGCAATTCGACGACGTGGACTTCACGCTGGAGACAGTCTGACCCTGAGTTCAGGTTGGGACCTTCGTTTGCAGAAAGACCAGATTGCTGCTTTTGAAGTCTTGAAGAGAACAAAACCCTATGTTGTTGTTCTGGCATTTCCTTGCGGCCCTTGGTCTTCACTTCAGTTCCTGAACCCAGCCGCCAATTTGGCTGGGATGCGAGAAGAGGCATTGAGTTTGATAGCTTTCGCACTTCGTGTGGCAGAGTTTCAAGTGGCCCACGGCCGGCACTATGTCATGGAGAACCCTCGGAACTCGATGGCTTGGCGCCTTCCTACTTTGCAGGACTTTGTGCTTCGCACTCATTCATTGGAGGTGGTCTTGGACATGTGTTGTTCCAATTTACGTGCCCCAGACGGCCTTCTACACAAGAAACCAACAAAGCTCCTCACTTCCATGCAGGCAGTGGTGAGCGCCTTTTTGAACTGCAGCTGTGAAGGAGATCACAACCATGCGCCCGTGATGGGCGGTAGCAAGATCACCGCCGCAGCTGGACACTATACCTCTGAGTTCTCTGACGCCCTTGTCGAGGCCTTTTTGGAACAGTATGACTTCGAGAAAGTAGTGCTCTTCAGCCCAGACTCATCTCCTGAAGGTGGGACTGAAGTGTTTTTGACTGAGAATGAGGCCTTTGCTGCTGACAGAGACGACGATATGGAATCAGAAGGCTCTGATGAGGAGGAACTGGTCAAAGACGATGCCAAAGTTCTCATTTCGCCTGCCATCAAGAATGCGGTCTACCGTCTTCATGTGAATACAGGGCATAGATCCAACCAACGCTTGGCTCGTGCCTTGTTGGTGGCAGGTGCACCCCATGATGCTGTCTTGGCAGCAAAGCGGCTGAAGTGCTCAGTGTGTCGTGAACGACAGCCTCCCAAGCCTCGACTACCAGCTTCACTGCCTCCACCACGTGAAGTGGGACAACAGGTGCACGTTGACTTGTTGCAAATTGAAGATTCTTTGAAGAGGCCACATTGGATAGCTCATGCGACGGACAACGTGTCGCGGTTTCAGGCGGCTCGTGTTCTGGAAGACAAATCCTCATCGGCCTGCATTGAGTTCTTGACCGTGCACTGGATTGGACTCATGGGTTTCCCACACACTTTGGTGGCAGACCAAGGCCGTGAATTCATCAGTGCTGAGTTCTGCGATTGGTGTGATAGCAAGTCCATTTACCTCTACCACTGCGGTGTCGGTGCGCCTTGGCAGAACGGTATCGCTGAGCGCAGCGGAGCTACGTTGAGAGCCTTGACTTCAGCCATTTGCCAGACTCATGCTGTCTCCACCTACGAGGAGATGCAATGCGCAGTGAGCGAAGGGGTCGCTGCTTACAACAACGATGTGAACGAGAGCGGTGTCTCCCCTCAGCAGATGGTGACCGGGAAGAACACCCGATCGCAAGGCGACGTGTTGGCTGAGTTCGGCAACCACTTAGCTGAGCACTCACTCTTGGAGGTGACTCCCTCCATGGCCAAGCAGGTGGCGATGCGTGAGACAGCCAGAGTGGCTATGACCAGACTTCACTATAGTCGTGGACTGAGAAGAGCAGAACTAGGTCGCTCCCGCTCCTCGACGGCTACATCCTTGCCTACACCAGGAGATCTTGTTTTCTTTTGGCGTGCGCAGAAGTACAAGTCCAAGAAGGACGGAGGCATTGGCTCAAGACGTCAACTTCTTTTGAAGAGGTGGCATGGCCCTGGTCTTCTCGTGGCCATTGAGGGCAAAGATGGTCATGGTTTTGCTTCAAATTGTTTCATTTCCTTTCGTGGTCAATTGACCAAGTGCCCAGTGGAGCATGTGAGAAAGGCATCCTCGCTTGAAAGCATTGCTTCTGGCTCTTGGGAGGCAGCAATTGAAGAGGTGATCTCTGCAGCGCAGAATGATGCTGTGAATCGAGAGGATGAGCAAGATGTTGAACCACTTCCTGAAGATGAACGTCCCTTGCCCGTTGTAGCTACCTCTTCTCCTTTGACTCCAGCTGAGGTGGTTGCTGCTATTTCACCTCCAGCTCAAGCACCTAGCAGAGATGCTCCTTCAGCCGTTGGGTCAGGCATTGCCACACCACTACCCGAAGGTGTAGCTCAAGCTGTTCAACGGACACCTTTCCCTCAAGCAACAGCTAAAGCCTTGGCTCGCACTCTCGAGCGGGCGCGGGAATTTGATGAAGGGGAACGTGGAACAAAAAGACCAGCAGAAGATGACCTTCCTCGTGAAGATGCTTTTGCTAGGCCTTCAACGTCAGGTGAACTTCGGCCTTCAGAAGCGACAGCCTTTGAAGCTCTTGTCTTGGACAGTGTGCAGCTGGAATGTTTGGCCAACAGCTCTACAGCCCATCCCCTGGTCGCCCTGCAAGCGCAAGTCGATCTGGATCGTTGGTCCCCTCTTGAAGCTCAAGAGCAGGACCATGGCACTTGGGATGGCCGCTGGGCTTTCATTTGCGAGCGTGATTGGAACACCATTGTTGCCTTGGGCCTCTCACTGCCATGCGGCGAAGAGATGCACGAGTCCTATGCGGTGCAAGCAGCTCGCAAAGAATATGCTTGGTCGAAGATGAGTGCAACAGACAAGAAGCTCTGGGGTGATGCAGCTGTGAGTGGTTGGCAGGTGTACATCGACAACGCTGCAGTGCAAGTGCTTTCCTTGGAGGAGTCAGCTCGAGTTCGAAAAGATCTTGCCAAGCGAAATGAACTTGACCGAATCCTTCGTCCCAGATTTGTGCTCACAGACAAGCATGATGGACTTCGGACAGCCTCTCACCCATTACCGGTCAAGCCCAGTTCTCGGCTGGTGGTGCCTGGATACCAGGACAGAAGCAACTTAACAGGTCAGCTTCGTCGAGATGCCCCGACAGGCAGTCGCATAGCTCAGCATTTTCTCTTCAGCGTTGCGGCATACCACACATGGTGGAGCTTGATTTCTTCAGATGTCAAGTCGGCATTTCTGAAGGGTGACCCCTACATGGATCGTGAGCTGTACGTCACCAACACCAATCCGGCTACATCTCCATCTTCCTTTGAAGCCAGGCCAGCTATGTCGTGTTCTCAAGGGGATCTTTGGTTTGGCTGATGCTCCCAGAGAATGGTGGTTGCGACTGTCGAGATCCATGGAAGAACACAAGTGGTGTCGCTCCACTATCGATGCAGCCATGTGGACCTTTTGGCAAAATGATGCCGACAAACAGCCTGTTCTTGAGGGTTTGATTGTTGCACACGTTGATGACCTCCTTTTTACAGGATCTCCAACTGCTGAGGCCTCGCTGGCAGCAATTGGACAGGAACTTGGTTTTGGCTCACAGGACCGAGGAGACTTCACTTGGTGTGGCAAGCGAATCCGAAGGGCCTCAGATGGAACGGTGCGTCTTTCCATGCGGGAATACCACCAAAACCTGGAAGAGATCCACCTCCCCAAGAACCGGAAATCCGACCCGGGAGCAAATCTTTCAGCTTTCGAGGCAAGGCAACTCAGAGCAGCTCTTGGTTCACTTCAATGGTTGACGGCGCAGGTGCGGTTCGACATGTCGTATGGTGTCTCAACACTACAAGGAGAAAATCCTCCAACCATCGGAACCATCACTCGAGTCAATAGCTTGATCAGGGAGTTCAAACGCACTGGAGACTTTGAGCTTGTTTTCCGGCCGGTAGACTATCGGACAGCAGGAATTGTAGCCATCTCCGATGCTGCCTTGGGCAACGTTCAGCGCAGCGGTGCTGGCATTGGCTCGCCTCTTGAGAAGGTTTATTCCCAAGCTGGATATGTAATCCTTCTCGGAGACAAAGATTTGGTTCGAGGTCAACATGGAAGGTTCAACATTATTGACTGTCGATCTCATCGGATCAGTCGAGTTTGTCGCTCTACATACTCAGCTGAAACTCTCTCAGCGGAAGAGTCCATAGACGTTGGGCAGCTGTGTCGTGGCTTCCTTGCTAGCTTGTGGGGAAAGAATGTCATCGGCAAGGCTGCAGACCGTGCCATGGATAGCGTTTGGTTCACTGCCGTGGTTGACGCCAAGGATGTCCATGACAAAGGGAACAGTGACACACCATCCTTCGGGAGTCAGAAATCACTGGCTTTCACTATAGGTTGGCTGAGAGCTATTCTTCGTCGACCTCACACTGCTCTCAAGTGGACAGCCACGTCCAATATGTGGATCGATGCCTTGACCAAGGATATGGACTTGACGCACGTACGTCGAATCATGTCTGCTGGAGAGTGGTCGGTTAGCTATAGCCCAGAGTTTGTGAGGCAAGTTTCAAAGACCAAAAAGGCTAAGCCCAGTGATGACCCAGCAAGCGCTGAACTTCCTGGTGAGCGCCTGAACGGCGATGACCCTTTGCTTCCGCATTTAGCTCGGTTGGCTGATCGAAAAGGTTGGCACTTCATTTCGAACATTGGTGTACAGGTTGCACACTCAGCCAAATCGTTTAGAACTCCAGAACCGAGGTTTAGTGCAGTTGATTTGCCCCTCAGGAGCTCTTTTGGCCGATTTTGTGTGAATGACCAGTATATCTGGCGATGTTTGGAAAGCGGCACTCGCTATGGAGAGCTGACCAATCAGCATGGCATGATCGGTTGCGCGACGCCGATCTTGATCACTCTCTTTCATTCCGGCTCATCTCTCACCTCCTTGACCCCTGAAGCTACAAAGAAAATGGAATGAATGTTGATGTGAGAGTTGAGCATGGATTGATCCTGAGCCGACCCTACC